TACGAGCTCCAAGACCTGGCTCCAGGGCTTGCCCCACAGCTGGTGCCAGCAGCCGCGACATTACAGTAGGCAGAAATGCCGCTAAACCTGCCGCGGGGCAACCTGCCTCGAGTGGAGCCCGCAGCTCGGGCGATCACAGATTCATCTCCACCACCTGCGGGCAACCCTGCCGCAAGCCCACGCCACCCAGACTGGTCAAGGTTCGATGTCCAAACAAGCCGACAGAAATTGCGAAGCCTTGGCCCAAGCGTGGTAACACGCGAGTTGCGGAAGCTACACATGTGATGGCTCCATGCTAAAGAGCTTAAGATGAGACTCGTCTTAACCAATGGCGTATGTGACACATGTCGGGAGTGCAGGGCCTGGGATTTGCCAAGGCATACAGTTATGCCAAATTACCGCACTACCTGGCAAGTTCAACGAATAAGCCGAACGCGACCTGATGTTCTGCAAACAGGAGCATGAGATATTTCACACCATTGATCGCTGCATTCGACATGCTATTGGAATGGAAGTACCAGATAAAACAATGACCAGCATCCTAGATGCGCATCATCAATGCTGGATGCAGTTCGGACCTGCTAAGGTACTCCACTCCGACGAGGAGGGTGCCCTCAATAACGACGCTGCAAAAGGTGGTCCTCAAGGCAAACGGGTTTGAGCTGAGGACGCGCGCGCGTGGACCACGCGCTACGCGGTTGAAGCCAGAAATGGCATGTTACGCCATCTACTTCACTTCATGGAAAGTGAACGCATACCACCTGTGTTCCCACGACTACTGCACGAAGCCCTGCTTGCCGCCAATGCATTCATATTCTGCAATGAGGTGTGTCACATAACGCTTTGTTTGGGCGGCAGGTGGCAATACTTTCTGGGTCACGAACAGCCGACGGAGACGTCTGACCATTCTCGAGAACAGGTGATACGCCGGGAATGCATTGAAGCTATCACACAGGCTACTGCAGTGGCCAAGACCAATCGTGCATTACGAGTAATACAACTGTTATCGGTCAGCATTACGACGATGAAGGAGATTTGGTCGACTATCATCGTCCCAAAACTACGCAGGGCGACTGGGGAGGCTGGAATGGCCCGTTCCCAGTTGCGCGGAATGATCCCGACAGGGGTCAAGTCATTATTCGAGTGGGACATCGCGATGTACAAGTCCAATGTGGCGACGCACGACATTCACTCTACATCGAAGCTTCGACCGCCCTAGAGATTGGCTCTGACAACACTGCGTTGCGGACAGTGTTGGCACTTGATGCCAGTCTACCTGCGGGGAGACCTGCTATGACGTTTGGTTATACCCCGACCAAAAAGGGAAGGCTTCAGCTGACCAGTGCGAGCCGACTATCTCCCAATGTACACTTAGCTCTACAATGCCTTATCAGAAACGTCTTCCGCATCGAGAATGTAGTTTCTGTCAGGTTAGCTAAGAGTGTTCACAAGCTACCTCTGGTGGCTTATGCTGACAGCTTCACATGTGCACAAAATGACAACGACGTGAATCCAGGCTTCCACTACTATGAAGCAGAAGGCACTGCCCTCAGTATACACGATATAACTGGATCAGCACACTCGCGGATCATCCAGTGGCTAAAGCCCACTAAACCTCAAGCGGGCTTCGACCAAGCCATGACAAAGTTTGAGGAACTGGCGGACATACCCACACAATACGATAACGCCAGAGAGGCCCCAGAAGTTGAACCACCACAGGAGGATGGACGGCGCCCCCGCGATCTATGAGGAACCAGAAGCGGACCTTGAGGCACATATTATGGAGGTGCGGTACACAGAATTACGCGAAGAAAGGGAACGATTGGAGGCAACTCAATTAGATGACCTTTACCCTGTACCCACACGTGCTGATCACGGTACCTGAAGAACACCGGGAGCACCTTCCGAAGTGGGATCATCCGCGCGACTCCGACATCGAGGAGACGCATCATGTCCCACTATGCTCTACGGTCGAAGACCGCAGTTACGGATTGGACTCGGACGAAAATGGTCGAACTGTAGAACTCCTGTTTCGCTGCAGAAATGTCACAAGTGGTCCGTTTCCAACGACAGAATAGAATATTCGATACCGATCGTGTGACCACCATGCGAGTAACTATGTGTCACCGCCGCCGCAGAACGAGCTGCGGCTGTCAAGGAAGACGACCTCCTCGCGAAGGCCGGCACTCAGGCGAATCCCGACAAGGCATCGAAAGCCCCATATGTTGAGCTCAATACACGGTTTGACAACAAGCGTTTCAATATGCAGTATAAATCTAAAGCGTCAGACATCATGACTTCGAGGTGCGCATATAAGTGTAATTTCGTGATGAATGAGAAGGAAATGGAGCGCGCCGTCAGACTCCGCCCGGCACTTCGGGGGCCCATGGACCTCGATGCCGTCGACGTGGAGACCCTTGCAGGAACAGCACGGCAGTCTAGCCATATTATTTGCAAGCACGGTAGCGTGCAAGAAGCAATGGATCATTGCTTCCCTTGACATCAATTTGGCTTTCCTGAAAGGGGTTAACCTACCAGGTACTTGCCGAGGCGACCAGTGAGGAGGCACGCGTTGCGCGTTTTACCTTTGACTACGCGCAAGAGTGACTTTTCGCCGGAGCGACGTTTGGCGCGGGTCCAACGGGGCCCCCCGATCGCCGAACGCGATGCGGCATTAGCGCATTGCGCGCTCGCGTTTGGCCCCCCAGCTGCCCCAAATGAACCGCGCACCAAAGGTCACTCTTTACCCAGGGTCACTCTTGCGCGCAGTCGGTGCCTTGCCGCCTGGATCGGCAACGGTGCTGCGATCCCTTCCAGGATTCGAGCACTACGACGAGTCGAAGCACTGCCTGCAGCGCCTCAAGCCAGGCACCGGCGCCGAGGATGCACCCAGAGCTTTCTCACTTGAGCTCAGAAGGACCACGCGAGGCGCCGTTCTCAGACCCACGTCCTCAGACGAGGAATTCGAGACGAGCGGCAACATGCCCACAGCCAAAAATATTGATGATTAAATATGGCCAGAACTGAGGACACCATCGACAAGCGCGCTCAGTGCGTCGACGGCATTTTTGGCAACTGCAAACTCGACAAACATACGCGTACCAATTGCGCTGCGAGGTTCGCAGCGGATGGGGGCGGCAACGTTACGCTGGACCACGGTGAATACATCAAACAGCTCCGTCCTATACAACATTCTGGACTCACAGGCGCAGACGCTGACGCCAAAGCATCCAAGATTGTTGCTGACATGTTCGTTAGCCTCAGAGGCGCACTGGTTTTCGCATTCATCACACAAGCGTGGTTGATGGTATATGTGTTCTCTCTACAAGGTGTCCAAGAACCGACCAATATACAAGTGCGGCGACTCAACGCGATTACTAGGAAGCTGCAGGCCTGCCCTAAGAAGATCATCTATCAATCGATGGCTCCAGCGGGCGAAGTTGACCTACACAGCGACTCCGTCTATCGATGCCTGAGTGGAGATGCCGATGACGAGGTCGACGGCTACGGTATTCGCGGGGTGGAAACACGCCATGTGGCAAGCCTGTCGTCCACTTGATCGATGCGTACTGCAAGCCTCGCCGCTTGCAGGTTCGCTCAAGCTACTCAGCAGAAGCACTTGCAGCAGCCCACAACTTGAAGGACTGCTATCCCACGATCGTGACTCTGCACGAACGCCATGCAGGTCCACTGACACCCACTCAGTTGAAATATATACTGGGGTGGGGTGGCATGAGCAGTAAGGTCACTTTGGCGATCGATGCGGAATATGTTCAGGTCCTTGCCAAGCAAAGATTGGAATAATCCGACTGGGTGCACTCTTTTGGGAAACATCAGTTGGATACGACAGATGATGGAGCGAGGAATCGCGCATGGCATCCAGTGGCGTGACGCTCGCGACATGAACGCGGACGGTCACACAAAGGGAAGCATTGACAGAGATATGTTCCTACAGGTCATGGGAGGCACGCAATCTTCCAAGCATGACTTGAAACGTCATCTTCCTTATCGGGCTGGGCAGACAACATCGTCTGAGGCCGCTTGAGGAGCAATCGCATGCACAGTAATTTGCTCGCACGGCAACATGCCCGCGGGCTCACCTTCCTTACAGACCCGCCTGCTGCTGCCTTTTTTGTATATAGCGTTTGCTGTATAGGGGTGGCGCACTCACGCTTCGTCCCCCTTCCTCCCGAGTCTAAAGTGAGCTGGGACAGTGGCGAGAGATAGCGAACGATTGTCCTCGGCCGTATGTGTTCAAGCGGCCGGCCGCCAACATATGATTGCGCCTCATTGCGAGGCAGATTACTTGCCATCGAGACCGAAAACATCATTCGCTTGAGATGGCCCGCCGCTCCCGCGACGGCCTCTTGCGACTGCGACTATCGCTACTACGATATAGCAGAGCAGGGGCTGTGCTTCGCCTAAGGCGTAGCTTCTGGACGGACCTACCAGCCCCCCGCAAATTTCTTGGCCCATTTTGGGGCCGCCTTGGGGGCTTCCTGGGCCGTCCCAGGCCATTTTGGAGGCCTCGTGGGCGATCTTGGGGCGATCTTGGAGGCTTTTTGGGCCCTCGTGGGCCGTCGGAATGCCGAGAAGAAACAAATTCCAAACATATTCACACAAACCTGGGAACACCAATGGTTTTGATCTCCTCGGGCCCTCCTGGAGGACCTCTTGGAGGCCTCTTCGGCCGTCTTGGAGGCCTTTTAGAGCCCTCTTCGACCGTCTTGGGCCATCTTGACTCATGCTGTATTGAGTGCGTATTGGGCCGTTTTGGAGGCATCTTGGGGCCATCTTGGCCGTCTTGGAGGCATATTGGAGGCCATCTTGAGCCGTCTTGGAGATTTTGTTTGAACGTTGAAGTTATTTGCGCGCGTGGAGCTCCCTCCCGGGACCCCGGCGGGACGGGCCGAAGCGCCAGGGGGAGTTCTTCGGGAAAAAGAGCACAAACCAAACCGTAAGAAGTCCAGCGCGCCAGACACCCCTGCGATGAATCGAAGGGGCGGCGGATACCTTGAGTCCTAGCAGCAGCCTGCTCGCATGCGACGGCCTTATCCAGGCTGGCAGCAGGTCGGTGTCAAACCCGGCACCATCAAGCTGGCTATCCTGCGAGGGTCAATGTGCCGATCCGCTGGGTCGAACGTGAAGGGTGGGCGACTTCGTTCAGCTTTGAGGGGTTGCGATCTGACTGAGCGGTTTCGGTGGTGATTGGCTATGCGCTGGGACTGGCGAGACTTCGCCCTAATATCGGCCACGCGGACAGGAACTGTCCACATTTGTAGATTTCGTGGCCCTTCATCTTCTCCTCCTCCTCCTCCTCCTCCCCCTCCTCCTCCTCCTTTTCCTCCCCTTGCCCCTCCTTCGCTCTTACGCTTCTTTGCTAGCATATCCCGGCAGGTTGACGCACCGATTTCGTGACTGACACCAAGAGATGGGGTCACGTCTTGCCGCTGGCGCCCTGTTTGGGTGATTGATTCAGTAGCAGTCGAAGTGAAATTGTGAAAATATTGTTGCACAGGTGATCGTGTATTTCTTCGTCCGTCGCCAGGTGCTGAGTCTCTGAATTAGAATGTCTCGTTGTTCTCTTTGACCCATCAGCACTCGCCACTGAGACCCAGGACTCCACCCTGTACAATCAACCCGCATAGGAAGGATGAGCGAGTTTCCAAAGTTACCCTTGCATCCTTCCCCTTCGGCCCATCCTTGGCCGCTTTCGCTGTCCGCGCCCTGCTCGCAAAGTGTTTCGCAGGCCTAGAGGTTGACACCAACACCAAGATCGGCGGTGTGCCTCCACCGAGGTAAGAAGATCCCGATCTCGGTGATGGTGGTAATATTCTGGCTTCCAAGGTGACCGAAAAATTACCACCAACACTGAAATCTAGGATCATCTTTCCCATGTGGAGGCAACCCCCTGTGCTAGTGGTGGTGCCAATTTCCAGGCTTCCAAGTGTCGGCATACCTTTCTAAGGTCCTTGCTCCTTGTGCGTCCTTACTGTGCGGGTTGATTGCAGGACCTCACCCTGTACTTCTCGACGCTCCGCGCACAGTGGAGACCCCAGCTCCACGGGGCCCCCCACCCCGTCAGGAGGAGGAGGAGGTAGAGGAGGAGGAGGAGGAGGAGGAGGAGGAGGAGGAAGAGGAGGAGGAGGAGGAGGAGGAGGCCTCCGCCCGTCTCCCCTGCCACCGGCGTCCCCGCCGCCGGGCGTACCAGCGTGCCCCGGGACAGCCCTGCTGATGCCACGCCCACAGCGGAGCGAACCACCGCGTAAGCCCGGACAGCCCCGCCCTTGGCCATTGCCCCAGGGTCGAGGCACAGGCGGAAGTTTGGGTGCTTTTCGGCCCGCGGTCTGACGCAGCGGCGCGATTGGCCTCAAGCAAACGTACGCGTACGCTTGCCACGCGCGTGCCGCTCCCACGCCCACCTGCCCCATCGGACGCACCCCCTGGCGGGGTCACGCTGCCTGACGTGTGGATCTCAGATGTGCACGACCGTGCCAGCGCGCTCCTCAACGCCAGCTGGCTGGAGGCACGGGCCGACCTGGGCCCCGAGTGCACGGGCTCCGCCAAGTCACGAGAGGAGTTGATCAGGACGCGGACCTGTGCGCTCGACGTCCGATTGACGACTGCCACCCAGCGGCACCCATTCGTCCTCCGTCACAGCCTCACCTCCCTCCTGGAGATTCGGGCCAACACAGAGAAGTACGTCCTCTCGTGGCCGGCAGAGTTCACCCTCGAGTGCGACGGAGCTGGGCCCGATCTGCACGTAATTCTATTTGTCCACGGGCCCAACAAAGATGAGCTCGGTGACATGAAGGTGTTATGGCCGCGCGAGTCCGGAGCACACAATCGGAAAAACCAAGGGGCAGACCCCGGGGGGCAGCAGCGCCACTCCAACTGCCACATGCTCGTGGAGTATGACACGTCGTACGGACCGCTCCGCGACAACGACGACAGTGCTCCGCGACCCTCGAACCCATGCGCCGCTCACTACAGGATTGACTTCGTTCCCGAAACAACGCAGCAAAACCGCATCAGCCAAGCGCTGGCTGAGATGTACCACGCCAAATTTGACAAGAGCGACCTCTGGGGACTGTCCCTCCCTGTCCTGCCCGATCTTTTGACGTTCGGCACGGCAGAAAGTGTCAATAAGCAATCTGCCAATGACGCGTATCAGAACAGCCTCCTGGGACACTACCTGCGGCTGCGCGAAGTGACCACTATTGGCGGGAAACTCCCCGACCCCGTCGGCTTCGTCTACGTGGCGCCTACACTGTTTTCTATCGCAGCCATCACTGAAGCAGAAATTGACCACAACCAGGAAAGGTCTACCAGGGAACACTCCCCGTCCCGAGCTTCTAGCGCCTTGAGAACACCATGGCCGCCCACCACTTTACCGTGGGACACGCCCTGGCCCTCAAGGCCAGCATACAGCATCGGGCAACTGTCTGCGAGGGCCCTCCCGGCACGGGGCAAACCAGGATGTCAACGGCTATAGCCGCTAGCCGCCGCCAGGGGTCAGGGCGCACCCGAAGGGTGCTGTGTCGCAAGCCTCACCGGCTCCAGCGCTGAGACAGACCAGACGGCACTCGCCCTAGAACAGGCACGAAAAGATGGACGCCTCAATGACTTCACCGACTACCCCTCACACGCCGTGCGCCTCGCAAAGGACGACAGGGCCTCCGCCCCTGAGGCGGCTGCCTTGACACTTTGTAGCCACTGCGCCATAGCCTGCGGACAGCCTCCCTACGCGACCGACCCATGCAATCGGACATTCGCCGGGTACTTGGATGGCGTGCTTCGGGATTCGTGCCTCATCCTGTTCACGCGCGAGGCCGCAGGTCAGCTCACCAAACCGACCTCGCCCAAAATCACCATGGGAATCGTTGATGAAGCTGGCCAGACTACGGAGACCCACGCGGCAATCTCTCTACGCAACGTCGCCACCAGCGGTGGCCACGTCGTGTTCATCGGCGACCCGCGCCAGTTGCCTCCCACGGTAAGGTCCGAGTATGCAGACGCCTTGGGCATGGGAATCTCCATCTTCGAGAGAGTTCAGCTGTCCCCGGGGGAGGACAGCGAGGCAGTTGTTTACCTTGCCCAGTGCTGCCTGATGCATCTCGACGCGCTGGCCTTTTCCCTCCTCCTACAACGGAGGGCAGGTCACGTCGGCACTGGCTGCCCCCTGGAGGCACGCGCCATCGCCCATGGCCTGCCTTGAGTAAACCACCAACTCATCGACGAGAGACTGGCCCGAAGACTTGCCACTCACCTCGGGAGAGACGCCGACGCACTCCTACGGGATATCGACGGCATACGCAACAGTAGAATGGGACCCGGGGGCGTCCACCGCGTCCTCATGATAGACAATCTTTCAGGACCTGTCGCCAGCCACGCAGAGCGGCCGCACCAACGTCCGGGAGGCGGCCATGTGCATCGACGCACCCCGCAAGCTGACCACCGCCACGGGGGGCGCCGGCATTGCAGTCAAAGTCATCAGCGGCCACGCGGCGCAGCGAAGCGCGCCACGGGGGGGGCGGCCCCAAACCAGGATCGGATTCGCAGTCAGCGCGCGCAATTCGACTCGGAAGCCTAGGACTGCGCCGACGAGATCTCGGTACTCAGTCAGATGACAGCCGCGCAAGGAGCACCCAGTGGGGCCCCCAACAAGCAAGGGAGCTGCTCCCCCACTGGCTCTCTGGCAGCGGCCGCGCCCAGCCTGGGCCCCGGCGCGCCCCTGACAGCGCCGCCCAGGCGACGGCCAAGGCAAGGCCCCACCAGGTGCGTCTTCGCCGAGCATTCCACGGACGACAACGGCCTGGGTTTCCCCGACTTGCTCAGCTCCAGTAAGCTATCCCATTCCACCGTCGACTCGAGCCAGGGCGGCGAGGCCGACGTCGTGATCGACCTCGCTACCCGGTCCAATTACCAGCACGACTGGGACTTCATGGTCGCCGTCACCAGGGCCGAGCGCCCCGTCGTCCTCATCGGATACGCTACAACATTTAGCACAGCCAGCGAATCCATGCTCAGCACGCGGGCGCTGCACGGCAGGGCCGCCAACCTCCGGGCGCGTTTCGTGGATGGCAAGTTCTTGGAGATTCGTCGCCAGATGGAAATCGATCAAGGACGGGACTGCGCCCAAGACGCGCAGAGTTGGATCCCGCCTGAACAGCTGACCAGCACGGGCCCCGACGTCGACAGCGCCATGGCTAGGGCCAGGGAAAGCCAGGCTAAGGGCTTCGCCCACTACGTTGACCCCCCGCGGGACAAAGACTTCTCCTGGGACAAGCCCGCCCGGAAGCTGAACGTCGCGCTCGGCGCCCACCTGGGGGCGCCCGCTCTCGCACCCGCCCTTTCCTTGGTAAGCGGACTACGCCCGCGCGAGCACGGCGCGGCCTGCCAACCAGCATGCCCGCGCCAATGCGACCGCAAGACGCGGAGTCACGAAGGCTCCCAATACGACGTCACCCTGGGCATCGACGCAGACAATCTGGTCTGCATCGCGCCGTGGGCCGCCGTGGCGCGGGCCCGCGGCCTCGCACCGAAATTCGACGATGGCGACGCGGCAGCGAAGACAGACGACGCGCAGAACCTCCACGACGTGGCGTAAGGTGGCGACGCCGCCCTACCCCAGGGAAGCGCGCGCCCCCGTGCACGGCGAAGCAGTTCCCCTGTGCGCGGAAGCGTTCCGCCGCGCAACGCAGCAGGCACCGCGCGCGCGTCCGGGCATGGACGGCCCCGGAGCCATGCTCCACGGACGCGCCAGACCCAACCCCCTGCAAGGCGGCTGCACCAGGAAAGGCGCGGACCCCGTTCCGCCGGCGCAGGCGCGGGCCCCACCCATCCTGATGATGCTCGCCACGAGGGGGCCCAGGATGCGCATGTCCCCATGCTCTGACCAGGAGGGAACTGGCGACGCGATCGAGGCCGCCCTTAGAGAATCTGCAAGCCCGGCAGCGCTACGGGCGCCACATAAGCTTCCAAGGAAGTCAACATCCGCGAGCTTTTCGGGGAGACCTGGGGACTATCCAAGGGTGACTCCCTGTACCTCCACGGCCGTTATGGAGACGCCCCGAGGCGCGTCGCCCGCCTAGTCCGATCGAGCAACCACCCGACTGCGAAAGAGGCCGGATGCCCATAGACCTGGGCAGAGACGCTGAACAGCAAGTTGCACCTGCGCTCGGCGCTCCTAGTTCCGGAGGAGTTGGTCGAGCCAGCCCGCGTTGGCGGACTCGCCTCTGCGGACTGTTCGGTCTGCGCCCTCCGCGCCGAGCCGGCAGGCAGCGCCGCGCGCCTCGGGGAAGCAGCGGGCGACCTCCTCCCCCACTTAAGTGGAGCCACGGCCATCAACAAGACTAACTTCCACGCGCCCACGCCTCAGCGCGGCCCCCGGCGCGCAGCCCATCCCGCCGGCCCTATTCTCGGGGGGCATGCGCTTTCTCAAGGCGCAGAGGGGCGTTCGCGTCTTCTGCGACGGCTGCGAGAGTGGACCGCGCGGGCTCCGCGAGGGCACGTGGGAGGGCGACCAGATCCGCAATTGCCCGGCGCTGAATCGGGAATTCGCTTACAACGTTGTGGGCGGCGCCGGCAACGCCACCTGGGGGAGAGCGGCGTCG